GTTCCGCTTGATCTCAACCCACAACCACTTATCGACCTTTGGCTTGTTCCTCGACTACACTTCTGCTTGATCTCAACCCACAACCACTTGTTACCGACCTTTGGCTTGTTCCTCGACTACGCTTCTGCATGATCCCAACCTGCAACCACTTGTTATCGACCTTTGGCTTGTTCCTTGATTATGCTTCTGCTTGATCCCAACCTGCAACCACTTGTTATCGACCTTTGGCTTGTTCCTCGACTACGCTTCTGCATGATCCCAACCTGCAACCACTTGTTATCGACCTTTGGCTTGTTCCTTGATTATGCTTCTGCTTGATCCTAACTTGCAACCACTTGTAACTGACCTTTGGCTTGTTCCTTGACTATGCTTCTGCTTGATCCTAACTTGCAACCACTTGTAACTGACCTTTGGCTTGTTCCTTGACTATGCTTCCGCTTGATCTCAACCCACAACCACTTGTTATCGACCTTTAGCTTGTTCCTCATTTATGCTTCTGCTTGATCCCAACCTGCAACCACTTGTTACAGACCTTTGGCTTGTTCCTTGACTATGCTTCTGCTTGACCCCAACCTGCAACCAGTTGTTATCGACCTTTGGCTTGTTCCTTGACTACGCTTCTGCTTGATCCCAACCTGCAACCACTTGTAACTGACCTTTGGCTTGTTCCTCAACTATGCTTCTGCTTGATCCCAACCTGCAACCACTTGTAACTGACCTTTGGCTTGTTCCTCAACTATGCTTCTGCTTGATCCCAACCAGCAACCACTTGTTATCGACCTTTGGCTTGTTCCTTGATTACGCTTTTGCTTGATTACAACCTGCAACCACTTGTTACCGACCTTTGGCTTGTTCCTCGACTATGCTTCTGCTTTACCCCAACCTACAACCACTTGTAACTGACCTTTGGCTTGTTCCTTGACTATGCTTCCACTTGATCCCAACCCACAACCACTTGCAACTGACCTTTGGCTTGTTCCTTGACTATGCTTCCACTTGATCCCAACCCACAACCACTTGTAACTGACCTCTGGCTTGTTCCTCAGCTATGCTTCTGCTTGATCCCAACCTGCAACCACTTGTTACAGACCTATGGCTTGTTCCTTGAACCCAACTTGACACTAATTGTTACCAACCTTTGGCTTGTCCCTCAACTATGCTGCTGCTTGATCCCTACCTGCTACATCTATTACTGGGCCCCGGCTTGCTCACCTCCTGGTGGGGAAAATCTGGTACTAACATGCAGCAAAACCCATCTCCACCATCAGAAGCTCTGGTGAATACCGGTTAGACCCCATGCCTTGGGTGAGCCTGGATCATCCGCCAAGGTGACCTGCTTGTGTACCTTTCCTGCTGGTCGGTGGGAGCCCTCTCTACTGCTATAGCTACTGGTCTCCGAACCTGACCCCAACCAAATGACCTGTATGAAAACCACATACATTGTTAGAAATTCATACATTTGAGAAAAATTATCCATCCTGCTCCTGTGAATGCTCTCATCACTGTTGTCGAACACGAATGTCGATCTGACCCCAATGATTAGAAAAACAAACTAATGCTCTTACAACAAAAAATGTCAAAGACATTCTAAAATTGCATACCAAGCTTCTTTCCTCTTCTGTTTACATGAGGGTCCTTCTTAGGTGGAGATGAGCTCGGGCATCCTCTCTAGCCAAACTCATGCTCTTTTTTTACTCCAAAGAGCTACAGAACGAGTCATTCCCTCCTCTATTTACGTGAGTTCTAAGGTAGGAATGACCCAGCCTGCGGCTCCATGTAGTAAAAAAAAAAAAGTTCAGGTTTGGCTACAGATGGGTTTGAGAAGTCCCAAGCTCATCTCTATTCTTTGGGTGTCCATGCCACTGCCTGTGTGATGTGGACACTTCCTACTGGCTGTCCAACCAATCTCAGGATCCAGAAGGGGGATCCTACAATGGCCGCCAGATCTAAGCGTAAGGACATGATTGCATTTCCTATGGGCTGTCTAACCAATCTCAGGATCCAGAAGAAGGATCCTACAATAGCTGCCAGATACATAGACCCAATTACACTTCCTGCTGTCTGGCCAGCCAATCTCAGGATCCAGAAGGGGAACCTTACAATGGCTGCCAGATCTAAGAGTAAGGACCCAATTACAATTCCTATTGGCAGTCCACTCAATCTAGAAGATGAATCCTACAATGGCAGCCAAATCCAAGAGTAAGGAGCCCATTACGTTCTGGCTGTCTTGCCAATCTCAGGATCCAGAAGGGGGATCCTACAATGGCCACCAGATCTAAGTGTAAAGACCTGATTACATTTCCTATGGGCTGTCTAACCAATCTCAGGATCCAGAAGTAAAATCCTACAATGGCTGCCAGATATATAGACCCAATTACACTTCCTACTGTCTGTCCAGCCAATCTCAGGATCCAGAAGAAGGATCCTACAATAGCTGCCAGATACATAGACCCAATTACACTTCCTACTGTCTGTCCAGCCAATCTCAGGATCCAGAAGAAGGATCCTACAATAGCTGCCAGATACATAGACCCAATTACACTTCCTACTGTCTGTCCAGCCAATCTCAGGATCCAGAAGAAGGATCCTACAATGGCTGCCAGATACATAGACCCAATTACACTTCCTACTCTCTGTCCAGCCAATCTCAGGATCCAGAAGAGGGATCCTAAAATGGCCACCAGATCTAAGCGTAAAGACCCAATTACTCTTCCTATTGGCTGTCTAGCCAGTCCTGAGATCCTACAATGGCCGCCAGACAGAAGTGTAAGGACCAGATTCCAAAATTAAAAAATACAGAACCACCAACATTTTTGAACATCAAGGTGAGAAAATGCGCTGCTATGGTGTGGCCCTCTGGAAGTGTCGATGGCCGCACTTGAGGCCCTCCATAATGTTCACGTGGACCACTATTGCCTTATCTGATTGGTTAGGAGTCAATAGACATGCCTCTTCTTGGATAAATGCTTCCCAGTGTGTCTTCACAAGAACCTGAACCCTGAGATGACCCTCACACGGCTGATCCTTATGCCCCATACACACGATAAGAACGTCGGACGAATGATCATCTGGGTTTTTTTTTGGGGGGGGGGGGTTGCATGCTAGTCTCCATATTGAAAATGAAACTATACTTCTGTACCGATGAAACAAAAAAAAAAAAAATCCGCACGATCTGGCATCGTATGAGAAACATTTTTGCTCGTCCCTTCGGATATTGTCACATGAATTGTCGCGATCAGCTCTCGAAAGCTGCGTACGAACAATCAGATTATCGAACGATCGGTCCTGGAATGAAAATTTTCGTCCATTTTTCTTATGTGTGTATGGGTCCCATTGGAGGTCGGATCGTTCAAGTGAGAAATCTGCGTCTATAACCTCCTTTCTGCCTTGGGATCCTTTGGGGAACCGTTGGGGCCGTTTTGCGCTGGCGACATTAACAGATCCCCAAGTGCCGAGAACATCTCAATAAATCGGAAAAAAAAAACCAAAGACAGTCTTCCATGGTTTCCTCTACAGTCACAGATGAGCCTGATGAGAGGGGCTGCTGAGCGTTTATACTGCCCACCCCAAACACCAAGATCCCCCCTTCCCGCCCAGACATGACAATGAGATCTGTCACACCTGACGACTGCATGTTCCTATCAAACCGTTTCTAAGTAGACCTAAAAAAAAGTGTCCAATTCCCACCCTGAGAATTCCTGTATTACATTCTGCAATCACGCCAATGGCAGCTCTAAGTAGGAGCCCCATTGTACTAGCGTGGTAGTGCGTTCACTGCGTTCACACGCTGCAGTGCCATCCATTCTACATGGACCCCCAATACACGTCCAGAATCGAAGAACGTGCAGCAGGGCTTGTTTCTGTGCTAAAGCTTACGCTTTGTGGCAAGTCGCAAGGGCAGGGGCTGATCTGCGTCAGACATTTGTGAACACGAGAACTGCACAGACACCAGTATTGACCTGATTGTGTCACCTCTGAGCCGACATCTCAATCCAGGAAGTAGATGATGCCTGAACAAAGATGGTGCCGTCCTTCCGGAGAGAAATGCAGACAATGGCATCATCAGGGGGAGTCCTGAGATCGCCGAGAGGTAATGCGTTCCTGGAAGTGTTCTGCAATGATGTATTACTCTCATTCACTTTATCTGATGCTCGGTCTGCTAACATTCCAAACGTCTCAGATTCATCCACTAGGATTGTTCTTCGCCACGCGGCTGCGGAAAACCAGAACATTGCTCTCTGCATGCGGCCATTTTTCTGACCCCCACCCCCCCCACCAGCGATCACCGGTTTTCGCACGGAGCCCAGACCTGTAATTAAGACCACCCAAGCGTAGCGAAATGCAATTATATCGCTTAATGCATCGGCGTTAGGTGGGATGGATGTCATTAACCCCCGCAGCTGACGCTCTCTGCCCTCCGTAGAGCGGCCGACGCAACGAATTCCCGATTTTCCATCTACAGACGGAACATTCCATGAAGAGGACAAAAGCCGGAGCGTAAAACATTCAACACCGATCGTGTGTGCGTCCATCTGGAGGCCGACATCTGCCGGCCAATCCATCCACCGGCAAAGGGTCCCAAAACGCTTCACTGATGTATGTGTCATGTGTTACCGTGTACGCACCCCCCCTCCCCCCCCACCCGTGATCTGCGTCTACGAGAGCACCGCGCACACAGATGGTGATGGAGATAGCAGCATGGAGGAAGCGGATGGAGAGTTGAGGAAGTGGGTCATCCCCACCCCCCCTACCAATCTCCCCCCCCCCACCCCCGGCTGTTGCCAGTCCTCATTAGAATAGGTATGAGAGTAGAGAGGAGGAGACAGGTCCTGCGGGGGAAGGAAGGTCCTCACCATGGGGGTGGGGGCCCAGAACAACCAGCATGTATTAGTCACAGCGATTGCACCCATCCATCCCACTTAATGTATACTTCATCATCTGCATCCTGCAGCCTTCCCATCAACAGACGCTCATCCCGATCCATTCTATGGGGAAGAAGACACTTAAAGGGGAATCCCACCCCCCTTCAGTCTTGCACAGGTGTACCGGCTCCTCCCCTTCAGTCTTGCACAGGTGTACCGGCTCCTCCCCTCCAGTCTTGCACAGGTGTACCGGCTCCTCCCCTCCAGTCTTGCACAGGTGTACCGGCTCCTCCCCTCCAGTCTTGCACAGGTGTACCGGCTCCTCCCCTCCAGTCTTGCACATGTGCACCGGCTCCTCCCCTCCAGTCTTGCACAGGTGTACCGGCTCCTCCCCTCCAGTCTTGCACAGGTGTACCGGCTCCTCCCCTCCAGTCTTGCACAGGTGTACCAGCTCCTCCCCCTTCAGTCTTGCACATGTGTACCGGCTCCTCCCCTTCAGTCTTGCACAGGTGTACCGGCTCCTCCCCCTTCAGTCTTCCACAGGTGTACCGGCTCCTCCCCTCCTGTCTTGCACAGGTGTACCAGCTCCTCCCCCTTCAGTCTTGCACAGGTGTACCAGCTCCTCCCCTCCAGTCTTGCACAGGTGTACCGGCTCCTCCCCCTTCAGTCTTGCACAGGTGTACCGGCTCCTCCCCTCCAGTCTTGCACAGGTGTACCGGCTCCTCCCCTCCAGTCTTGCACAGGTGTACCGGCTCCTCCCCCTTCAGGCTTGCACAGGTGTACCGGCTCCTCCCCTCCAGTCTTGCACAGGTGTACCGGCTCCTCCCCCTTCAGGCTTGCACAGGTGTACCGGCTCCTCCCCCTTCAGTCTTGCACAGGTGTATCGGCTCCTCCCCTTCAGTCATACACAGGTGTACCTGCTCCTCCCCTTCAGTCTTGCACAGGTGTATCGGCTCCTCTCCCTTCAGTCTTGCGCAGGTGTACCGGCTCCTCCCCTTCAGTCTTGCGCAGGTGTACCGGCTCCTCCCCTTCAGTCTTGCGCAGGTGTACCGGCTCCTCCCCTTCAGTCTTGCACAGGTGTACCGGCTCCTCCCCTTCAGTCTTGCACAGGTGCACTGGGTCCTGTACTGTACTGCAGTGTCACTGCACGCTCACTCTGATGTCACTGCACACTCCCACTTCACCGGACTGACACCCACCCATCATTTTGACTTTTGAAGATGCCCCCCTGTGCTCCTTCCCCCAGAGTGGGGGCGCTCTAATACAGGAGGTGCGTTACTGTCCAGATCACAAGGTGAAAACAGGGGGCAAAAAGACAAAAAAAGAAAATGAATGCAGCCGCCACGTCGAATGATTGGTAAGATGGAATATTTTTGGTGCGGGGGTTTAATACGGCAAAACACAAGCGACTGTGTAAGGCCCTGAAACCAGCCTAACCCATAAAAAGGCAAAATTTAGAGGGAAAATAAGGTGAGAAGCTGTGAAATACAAAATAACTTTGCCAATCTTTACAGAATAAAAGAATACCCCCCCCCCCCCCCCCATTGACCAGTGAAAAGTTCCCCTGCGTAGCGCTGTGATTGGAGTAGAAAAGGGAATAAAAGAAGTGAATGTGGGCAGAGGAGTGCCGGGCGCCCCCCGGCCAGGACATCGGTGCCAGACGCCACTTTAGACCCATAACGAGGGTTAATGTTCAGATTAAAGGGCCGGTCCCAGCCACTTGATTCCCTTCCAGCCGTTGGAGACTCGGCTCTCCCAAACTTCATCCATATTCATCATCTCTGGGCGTTTAATTAAATTCTGCATCGCATTTCCCTCCACGCTTCCCCCCCCCAGTGCATTCCCTAAACAGGGATAATCCATCTTTCATAGATAAGGAGAGCCACAAATTATTCCTTACGCTCAAGATAACAGCAATTTTCTGTGATTAGGTTTACCCATTAATTACCGGGGAGCCCTGAGCCCCGTCCGAGCCAATCACCGGCAGATCGATGGTTCCACCATCCCACATCAAACACAAAGCCTCCCCCCCAACGGAGGAGAGTCGGAAATGTGTGATTTCCTGAACATCGTTCTTCTAAGCGAGAGAAATTGGGCGAATTTTCATCAAATCGCTACTTATAGAAGGCGGTCACCATCAGGAAAATCCGACTCTGGAGCTGGAAGTCGTCAGCCATACTGGTGTGTATTGGGCACCTTAGTAGGTGTGACCAGTGACTCTTCCTTTGCTCTGTGCATTGCATCATATAGAAGCGTCGCCATTCGCACCTTTTTTTTCTCTTTTGTTACATCTCAGTGCTGATGATCTCCTGCAACCACTTCCTGTCTATATGCACTGAACTGATGGCGGCGCGGCATTTCTCAGGGAGGGTGACGGTGGAGCATGTCTGTGTAATGTGATGAACCAGACACTTATGTGACAGGGTGACAACGCAGGAGAGCAATTGGGAGACAGAACACAGTGTTGTCATCTAACAGGAAGTGCCTGAACAAAGACTATTGATGTGTTTTTGATGCTTTGGTGATGCTTTTTTAAAGCTTTAATGAAGCTTGGCAAATGCCCTGTGTGTGTTGATTTTCAATTTGTTTTAAAGGGGAGTAGTACCCCCACTTAGCAGATCCCAAGCTCATTAGTAACCTCATTCTGGAGATCCCCTGCTCATTAGTAACCCCCAGCTCCACTGATCCCCCCACTCATCAGTAGAGCTGGGGGTTACTCCTGAGTGGGGGGGGGTCAGCAGAGGTGGGAATTACTACTGATTGAGGGATCAGCAGAGCTGGGGGTTACTGCTGAGTGGAGATCAGCAGAGCTGGAGGTCACTGCTGAGTGGTGATAAGCAGAGCAAGCTGGAGGGTTACTACTGAGTGGAAGATCAGCAGAGCTGGGGGTTACTCATGAGCAGTGGATCAGCAGAGGTGGGGGTTACTACTGATTGAGGGATCAGCAGATCTGGGGGTTACTGCTGAGTGGAGATCAGCAGAGCTGGAGGTCACTGCTAAGTGGTGATCAGCAGAGCAGAGCTGCGGGTTACTACAGGGTGGGGTAAGCATCAGAGATGGTGGTTACTACTAAATGGGGGATCAGCAGAGCTGGGGCTTACTACTGAGCGGGGGTTCAGTAGAGCTGGGGGTTACTACTGAGCGGGGGTTCAGCAGAGCTGGGGGCTACTACTGAGTGGGGGTTCAGCAGAACTGGGGGTTACTACTGAGCGGGGGTTCAGCAGAGCTGGGGGTTACTACTGAGCGGGGGTTCAGCAGAACTGGGGGTTACTACTGACCGGGGGATCAGCAGAGTTGGGGGTTACTACTGACCGGGGGATCTGCAGAGCTGGGGGTTACTGCTGAGTGGAGATCAGAAGAGCTGGAGGTCACTGCTGAGCGATCAGCAGAGCAAGCCGGGGGTTACTAGCGAGTGGGGGGGATCAGCAGAGCTGGGGGTTACTCCTGAGTGGGGGGTCAGCACAGCTGGGGGTTACTCCTGAGCGGTGGGTCAGCAGAGATGGGGGTTACTCATGAGCAGGGGATCAGCAGAGGTGGGGGTTACTACTGACTGAGGGGTAAGCAGAGCTGGGGGTTACTGCTGAGTGGAGATCAGCAGAGCAAGCTGGGGGTTAGCAGCAGAGCTGGGGGTTACTACTAAACAAGGGATCAGCAGAGCTGGGGGTTACTGAGTGGGGGATCAGCAGAGCTGGCGTTACTACTGAGTGGGGTATCAGCAGAGCTGGGGGGTTACTACTGAGCGGGGGATCAGCAGAGCTGGGGGTTACTACTGAGCGGGGGATCAGCAGAGCTGGGGGTTACTACTGAGCGGGGAATCAGCAGAGCTGGGGGTTACTGAGCGGGGAATCAGCAGAGCTGAGGGTTACTACTGAGCGGGGGATCAGCAGAGCTGGGAGTTACTACTGAGCGGGGGATCAGCACTCAGTAACAACCCTCAACTCTGCTGACCCCCCACATAGTAGTAGTAACCCCCAGCTCTGCTGATTTACTACGTAAGCTCAGCTTTATTTCATTTATGTATCTTGTTGATCGTATGTATATTTCTGTGTATATTTGTACATTTATTTTGTACTTTCTGTACATATGCAGTAGCACTCCTCTCCCCCATATTCAAGCTACTGTCCTGAAGAAGCCAGATGAACAGGCGAAACGCGTTGACCGTATTTGATGAATGAATGTTGTTACTATGTGCTTAGTGGTAATGTCTTTTAACCGCCTCCCACCCGCCATATAAGGCAATGACGGGCGCAAGGTGGTTCTCTCGTTCTGGGAGAAGTCATATGACATTCTCCCATTCTAACCGCACATAGGTGGTGCGCTGTGTCCCTCGAACACAGCGAATTACTGACCAATGGAAAGAGCCGAAGACGACGGCTCGGTCATGTGATCAGCTGTGTCCAATCCCAGCTGATAGCATGTAAATAGGGAAATGTCAGTTATCGGCATTTCTCTCCTCACGAGCTGTCACGCTGACAGAGGAGAGGAGCGGAGAGCTGGTAAACAGCATTCCTCAGAGGGGACATCTACCCTGATCATCAGGGCACTGATGATCAGTGTAGCCCCAGCAGTGCCACCTGCCTGTGCCCATCAGTGCCAGCTGTCAGTGCTCATCAGTGCCGCCTAACAGTGCCAGTCAATGCCGCCTAACAGTGCCACCTTTCAGTGCCATAGATGAGTGCTGCCTTTCAGTGCATATCAGTGCCGCCTAACAGTGCCAGTCAGTGCCATAGATGAGTGCTGCCTTTCAGTGCCGCCTATCAGTGCCAGTCAGTGCCATAGATGAGTGCTGCCTTTCAGTGCCGCCTATCAGTGCCAGTCAGTGCCGCCTATCAGTGCCATAGGTGAGTGCTGCCTTTCAGTGCCCATCAGTGATGCCCGTCAATATCCATCAGTGCCACCTACCAGTGCCTCCCCTCATCAGTGCCACCTACCAGTGCCTCCTCATCAGTGCCACCTATCAGTGTCCATCTGTGCAGCCTATCAGTGCCCATCACTGCAGCCTCATTAGCGCACATCAGTGAAGGAGAAAAATCACTTATTTACAACATTTTATAACAAAAACTAAGAAAAAACTTTTTTCAAAATGTTCAGCTGTTTTTGGTTTGTTTATCAAAAAATAAAATCCCCGAGGTGATTAAATACCACCAAAAGAAAGCTCTGTCTGTCTCCAAAAAATGCTAAAAATGTCACATGGTTACAGTGTTGCATGACCGCGCAATTGTCAAAGTGCGACAGCGCTGAAAGCTGAAGATTGGCCTGGACAGGAAGGGGGGGAAGGGAGTGCCCGGTGGGCGAGGGTTAATATATATGAAGGGGGCACTGTGCTCCCTACGATTTGTTCTCCCCTTGTATCCTCTGGAGAATTACTAGGAGTCTGATCACAGATATAGGACGCTTATGTCAGTATGTCGCATGTCCTGGTCTCTTACTGTGACCAATCCGATGCCTCTGCCGTACCCAGCAGTTCGGTTTCTTTTTCTTCTGTATCCATAGGATTTGGCACCAGGAAGCTTTTCTTGTAGGGATGCACCGATAGGTCAGCCACCGAAACATAAGCATTTTGCTGATAGGACAATTGTAGCCGATACAGGAGACTGTGTGTACTGCAGATGTGAGGGGGAGGGGCGGAGAAAGGCAGGAGAGGAGTGGTGTATACAGTGACTGCCTGCCACTATAGGTCAGTGCCGGATTTTAAATGTAATTACCGGCTTTTTTTTTTTTTTTCTTCACTATAACTCACAGAATTAGCTGTCACTTTCCCCCCAGCTAAAAGAAACAAAGTTTCCTTTTTAGTTTCTTTCCCGAGATAAAAGAAACAATGTTTCCTTTTAGTTTCTTTCCCGAGATAAAGGAGACAATGTTTCCTTTTAGTTTCTTTCCCGAGATAAAAGAAACAATGTTTCCTGTTAGGTTTTTTGCCCCAGATAAAAGAAACAATGTTTCCTTTTAGTTTATTTCCCGAGATAAAAGAAAAAGTTTCCTTTTAGTTTCTTTCCCGAGATAAAAGAAACAATGTTTCCTTTTAGTTTCTTTCCCGAGATAAAAGAAACAATGTTTCCTTTTAGTTTCTTTCCCGAGATAAAAGAAACAATGTTTCCTTTTAATTTCTTTCCCGAGATAAAAGAAACAGTTTCTTTTAGTTTTTTTTGCCCCAGATAAAAGAGACAATGTTTCCTTTTAGTTTTTTTCCCCAGATAAAAAGAAACAATGTTTCCTGTTAGGTTTTTTGCCCCAGATAAAATAAACAATGTTTCCTTTTAGTTTCTTTCCCGAGATAAAAGAAACAATGTTTCTTTTTAGTTTCTTTCCCGAGATAAAACAATGTTTCCTTTTAGTTTCTTTCCCGAGATAAAAGAAACAATGTTTCCTTTTAATTTCTTTCCCGAGATAAAAGAAACAGTTTCTTTTAGTTTTTTTGCCCCAGATAAAAGAGACAATGTTTCCTTTTAGTTTTTTTTTTCCCCAGATAAAAAGAAACAAAGTTTCCTTTAGCTCCGGGGAAAGTGACAGCTAATTCTGTGAGCTATCGTGAAGAAAAAAAAAAGCCGGCAACTGCAATTAAAAACCGGCACCGACCTATAGCGACAGCCATTGATGGAGCCTCTCTGTATACACTGCTCCCCTCCTTGCACTAACTGCCCCTTACAAAGAGGACCTGTCACTCATATGCTATCACAGAGGATTATTGGTCCCCTATGTGATAGCAATAAAATCATAAGTTAAAAAATATATATATATATACATGAAAGTAGAAAAAAAAAACCCCACAAAATAAATTGGAGCCTCCCCACCCCCACATACACAGACATTTTGGTTTTCGGTCATATGCGTTCTGAATTTTCGGCACCAGAATTTTCATTTCGGGGCACCACTACTTTTTTGTTTTTTTTCTCATCAATATTTTTTTTTTTACGATTCAGACCCGATCCTCGGGGTTCAGAAAGAACTCCCGGCTCCCTAGACTCACATCTGTCGTAGAGCGTCACTAAACCCGGCCACCTAATCATCCATCCAGACGGATGGGACTCCCTGCCGCCACAAAGGGGTTAATCTCATCACAGAAGCCGCTCACAAACCAATTAGTCCAAAAAGGAATTAGGAAAGACACAAAATTAACAAAAATCATTGTCTGGGTGTCTTCTGCCCGGCATGTAATGCTCTAATGAGAGCTTAGAACTCGTTCTATGGCGGAAGGCTCCGCCCCCACCCATCGCACGCCGCCATTACCTGCGTGGGAAGAGGGCTGACCCGCACCCGGGGCAAGGTGATCCAACACCCGGGGCAAGGTGATCCAACACCCGGGGCAAGGTGATCCAACACCCGGGGCAAGGTGATCCAACACCCGGGGCAAGGTGATCCAACACCCGGGGCAAGTTGATCCAACACCCGGGGCAAGGTGATCCAACACCCGGGGCAAGGTGATCCAACACCCGGGGCAAGGTGATCCAACACCCGGGGCAAGGTGATCCAACACCCGGGGCAAGGTGATCCAACACCCAGGGCAAAAAAGCCAAACTGCACACCCCCCCTTCATTATGTGCTATGAGGCAGGGGCGGACTGACAACTCATGGGGCCCCTGGGCAATAGCAGATCATGGGGCCCGTGTGTCTTTGCCCAAACTTAAAAAAGGCTATGAAAAAGGTACCAGGGGCATCTCATGGGGCCCCCCTACTGACCCTGAGCCCTCGGGCAGTGCCCCTGCTATGAGGATGCTACCCCCAGTAGTCATCCACTCGTCAAATGCCTTGTATCAGAAAGAGCCCACTGTCACCCTCATCAGTAAACCGCTGCGCCCAGGGCAGCCGCCCCTCCTGCCCACATGAGACCTTTCCTCCTCACAAAGCCGCTCTTCTACCGACACCGCAGATTCGTTTTCCTGGCACAGCCCGTTGTACAGCACCCGGCACAAGCGCACGGCCATCTGCAGATCACAGTTCCTGGGAGGACCTTCTGCTGCCCAGAATTCCTAATCTCCCTTTAGTTGCTCTTTTTCCAGGTCTGCAGGACCTGGCAGATCCCCTGTGGCATGTCTATGCTTGCACAGCAATGCAGTAAACCGACAGATGCCGTACCGTTTCTGCACATGTGCAAGATCCCGCAAACCTATGGGGGGGGATGTGCAAAAACACAAGTAGGCTCCATCCCCCAAAAATATATTCGAAAAGGAACTCCAAATTTCCCAATGGGAGATTTTAATAGTGAAGTCCCGCCCCCCAAAACCCCCAACCGCCCAAAAAAAAGAAAAAAAATTCAAACTCAGCAGCTACAAACACCACGGCTTCTGACTTTTACCTGTCCAGGCATCCAGCGGTGTCCTCACCCTGAGCCGATTCGACTGTCGGGTGCTGGCACCGCCATCTTGACTAAGGGAAACTGGACGTGAAGGCTTACGGCTTCAGCACCAGATTCCCCATTGCGCATGCGCGAAGCTGCGCTTTTAGAATGGGCTGCAGTCCTCTGGGACCTTGGAAGTGTCCCAGAGGGCTGCGGGGAGCGCCAATCTTCCGGCTCAGTTCGCCGCCGCCACAAAAAGGTGCCAAATGTGGCAGCAGGGGGGGGGGGGGGGACAGATAAGTGAAGTTTCCACTTTAACATGAACACAAGCGTTGAAAACAGATTCAACTTTATTAATGCAATAAAATCCAGGAAATGGACAGAGTGTCCATATCCCAAATGAACAATCAAAATCATGTAAATACAGATCCTGGCAAATCAACGCGTTTCGCATCGCCAACGTTGTATTATAATAAATGTTGATGTTCTATTAAAGATTCGGTATTATAATCCGTATCCTACTGAGAATATAGGAGCGCGTGGGTCCTGATGAAGCACGTTGTCGATATGAAACGCGTTGATCTAGCAGGCTATATATTTACACGATTTTGGTGGGTCCTGATGAAGCACGTTCATATGAAACGCATTGATCCAGCACACTATTTACACAATTTTGGTGGGTCCTGATGAAGCACGTTGTCAATATGAAACGCGTTGATCCAGCAGGCTCTGTATTTACACGATTTTGGTGGGTCCTGATGAAGCACGTTGTCAATATGAAACGCGTTGATCCAGCAGGCTCTGTATTTACACGATTTTGGTGGGTCCTGATGAAGCACGTTGTCAATATGAAACGCGTTGATCCAGCAGGCTCTGTATTTACACGATTTTGGTGGGTCCTGATGAAGCAGTTTGTCGATATGAAACGCGTCAATCCAGCAGGCTCTGTATTTACGATTTTGGTGGTCCTGATGAAGCACGTTGATATGAAACGCATTGATCCAGCAGACTATTTACACAATTTTGGTGGGTCCTGATGAAGCACGTTGTCGATATGAAACGCGTTGATCCAGCAGGCTCTGTATTTACACGATTTTGGTGGGTCCTGATGAAGCACGTTGTCGATATGAAACGCGTTGATCCAGCAGGCTCTGTATTTACACGATTTTGGTGGGTCCTGATGAAGCACGTTGTCGATATGAAACGCGTTGATCCAGCAGGCTCTGTATTTACACGATTTTGGTGGGTCCTGATGAAGCACGTTGTCGATATGAAACGCGTTGATCCAGCAGACTATTTACACGATTCTGGTGGGTCCTGATGAAGCACGTTGTCGATATGAAACGCGTTGATCCAGCAGGCTCTGTATTTACACGATTTTGGTGGGTCCTGATGAAGCAGGTTGTCGATATGAAACGCGTTGATCCAGCAGGCTCTGTATTTACACGATTTTGGTGGGTCCTGATGAAGCACGTTGTCGATATGAAACGCATTGATCCAGCAGGCTCTGTATTTACACGATTCTGGTGGGTCCTGATGAAGCACGTTGTCGATATGAAACGCGTTGATCCAGCAGGCTCTGTATTTACACGATTTTGGTGGGTCCTGATGAAGCACGTTGTCGATATGAAACGCGTTGATCCAGCAGGCTCTGTATTTACACGATTTTGGTGGGTCCTGATGAAGCACGTTGTCGATATGAAACGCGTTGATCCAGCAGGCTCTGTATTTACACGATTTTGGTGGGTCCTGATGAAGCACGTTGTCGATATGAAACGCGTT